CCCCAAAACCCCAAAACCCCAAAACCCCAAGTGTGCTTATAAGTTTTGCTAACACTAATCATATTATATAATTTAAATAAAGCTAATGGATTACAAAATATCCATTGAAGACGAACTAAATCAGCATCTGATAGATGGCACTCAGTTTGGCTCTATAAATGATGACATTGAAAGAGAGGACAAAAAGGACGAAGAAGGTTCGGAGAGACAAACAATGCTTGAGACTCAGAATAATTAGTAGATCGAATCTATTGAGACTCTAACCATAAATAAAGAAAGTAGAGGTCATCCTCAGTACTTGCAGCCCAGATATGATTTCACATTCCAGATTGTATTATATGGCGGTATAGCCTATGTGATGGCTTACCTCATCATTGCTGTTGTGATGAATATAGTGTTGGTTTCCTCAGGAGATTTCAGCGTGCTTTCAACAGGCTTGACTTCATGTCCTAAGTATTTACTTGGAATTTTCGTAGCTGTTGAAACCTTCCCCCCTATCGGCTTCTTAGCGAGTTATTTGTTGATGGAGTACATCACTCGCAGATTGCATGCTAATGTCAACATCTATACTTTTAATAGCAATCGCTGGAGAGTCAAGCTGATTAGCTTCTCATCCAAATGGGTTAAAGGCGGATTTATGATCTTTGATATCATTCAGATAGGAATATCAATTGCGACAAAAATAGCAATAGACTACAGTCCTAATGATACGCTCTTATGCAAAGATGAAGTGGGTACTTTTTATGTGATCGCCTACATAATGATGGTAGTGGGCTTTTTATGCATAGTGCGTTTGCTTTATCTGATATTCCCTCACTGCATTGGCTACATGTACTTTAGCTATAAGCAACATTAAGATACCTTATTGCTCAAACGGGTCACGCAAGATCTCAATGTATATACTTATTAGGAATACTTCCGACAAAAAAAGTTTATGAGCTGTAAAATCTGTCACAAAGAGTTCAATGAAAATGAAAAGATTGTAGAGCTTAGCTGCTAAAACAAACACATTTAGCACAAGGACTGTGCTGACACCTGGTTTAATACACAGTATCATTTGAACTGCCCCAACTGTCTGGAATTTATGTATCCAAGAAAGTTCAAATACTATCTTTGAAAATGCAACAAGACATAGTAAACTGAATCTAATATAATTTATGAATTTATTAAAGAAGAAAGATCATTCTTTGCAAGTTGAGAGTAATTAATTATTTCTTAATTTAATTCTATGTTTAATTTTCCTAAATATTATTAACATCCTAATCATGAATATCAGCGGAAGATAAAGTAGCAATATAATCATTACAACTTCAAACGAGTAGACTAGTTCACTCTAGTAGCTGTAACTCATGGACCTTCCGACATAGCCTTTAATTGATGTTGACTCATTATTAACACCAAATAAAGAGCAATGATTAACTAAGAATGGTAAGAATAGAGTTACGTTTGAGATAAAGAGAATAGTATCTACCAAAAACACTTACCTAGCCCCGAGATCAAACCATGACTTCAATATTAAACGCTACTTGAGATTTTTCTATTTCTGGCCTAGCATCATTTACGTCTGCATCAACATTGCAGCTTTTGAGGTTGGTTTCTAAATAATTGATGTGGATAGCTTGCCGAATCTTAAACCAATCTTTGTAGTTTCAACCATTGCATGCTTTGCCCCCATCTTCAATATGCTCTTGTCCATTATGATGTATTGGAACACCTTCAGAGGTAACATGCTTTACTCCAGACAGTATCTCTACTCTAACGGCAAGTGCCAAATGAGGTTAACTTCGCTGAAGAGCAGAATCAATTATTTGGTGATTGCAGCGATTGACTTAGTCCAGATTGCGCTGTCTCTGATATCCTTAATTTACGCACAAATATATGCAGAAGACTTGGCTTATCTCAAAGACAAGTTTTCTTTTGGCTACGGCTATTTCATATTTCAGATCACTGTGGGAGTCGCCTGCATTATTAGATTAAGTTTCCTAGTCTTTCCTCATATTATTGGCCACAGTTATTATTAATGGAGAGAGATTAGAGATGATGAACAGCATAAGAAATCCATGAGCAAGAATCTGTTATAGTATCAGTACAGAGAGATTATTCAGGATATAAAAGCACATGATGCCTATAAATTGGATAACGATTCTGTCAATTTCTTCAGATGCAAGGTCTGTGCTAGGACCTTTGAAGACTATGAAGATATAGTTGAACTAGTGTGCAACGGAGAGCACATCATTCATAAGGGCTGTGCTGATTAATGGTTTAATGTTCAGAAGCATATTAATTGTCCAGTTTGCTTGGAATTTATACTGACTCAATAACGAAAACCACTAAACTTATCTAGGACCCCTGGAAATAGTCACTATCTAAAGTGAGCATAGAATATTGGGGCAGATATTATTAATAATATAAGCTTATTAAGTGTAAATTCTATGATAATAACAATGTAAAAGGCATTTCTATAAGTACTGAAAGTTATGGATATGGAGAGAAATTTATAGATTTGCAAGAAAGTTTATTTAAAAATAATGTGATGTGATGTAAATAATAAAGATAATTTAAATCATGATTTGCAACCAGCATTTATTTCTTTTCAATCTAGTGAAATTTATACTCATGGGGTTTTGGGGTTTTGGGGTTTTGGGG